ACATTTGGTTCCTTCTAGCTGGTTTGGCTCCCCTCTCCCCCCACCCCCATCTTCTCCTTGCATCCCTCCCCCCCAACTCCCTGCCCACCTCCTCTCATTCAGCACAAAGAACACAATTGGTATTGTCCCCTGACACCAGCTCCTGGTCCCCGGTCCCCCAGTACCTGTCCTCTGTTACTCGGAGACTTTGATGAGTGAACGAGCTGACCAGTAGCCACTGTGTAGAGAGTTTGGCTGGTGGGGTCAGAGACTGTAGATTCACACGCTGGCCCTGTCCTCTAAGACCTGTATTAACTGGGTGCATTGTTCAACCGTAGCAAGCCTTACTTTCTTCATTTACAAAGTAGGTGCTGACTGGCCGTCTTCCCTAGAGACACTGAGGTGTGTGAGCCATTGAGCTCGGTGTTTGGTGTGAGGCAGGTTGCACCATGAGCTTCCCTGTCGTGGCTGAAGGTGAAAGTTCCACCATCCCACACTCACTAGCCATCACAACAGGGTGTGTGAAGTCCCCACGACTGTGGAACTCAGGCTTAGCTGTGTGACTAAATGGGGATGTTGGTAAAGAAGTCACAGTTTGGGGGACATGATAGGAAGAGTGTTCTTCAGAAAAAAAAAAAAGCCTCTCTTAGGGGCTGAGGAGATGGCTTAGCAGATAAAGTGCTTGCTTTGCACGTAAGAAGACCTGGGTTTAATCTCCAGGACCCATGAAAACCAACATCCGAACACAGTAACACTGTTCTAATCCCTGTGCTGGAGAGGCAGAGACAGCCAGATCTCTGAGATTGGCTGGCCAGCTAGCCTAGCCTACTTGGTGAGTTCCAGGCCAGGAAGAGACCTTGTTTCAAAAAGGTAGATGGTCCCTGAGGATGACACTCAAGGTCCCTGCTCTGTGTACACAGACACACACACACACACACACACACACACACACGTATGCATGCACGTATCTTTCCAATTAACATTTGACAATGTTTTTGGAAACTCTCCCTATCGAGACTGGAGACGAAAGTGGTATGAGCTGGTTTCTGATCCCTGGGCATTGGATGGTTGCTTCTCACAGGGCCCTGGGCACAGATCAATGTGTGGTTTATCTGGAAAAGAAAAACAGTGAAAACCTGCATCCAGACAGAGACAATGGCTTGTGCAAAGGCTCTGGGGTCAGAATATGCTCAGTGTGTTGAGGCAACAGGAAGAACCAGAAACCTGGCAGGGTGGAGAGAGAAGGCTGGGCTGACACTGGGGTTTGGGGAAACTCAGGTGGCAGCTAAATTGGGACTTGACTCTGAGGCCACAGGAAGTCCTCTGAGGGTTGTAAGCCCAGGAGTGCCCGGATCTGATTTGCATTTTTAAAAGATTACTCAACTGCTCTCTGAAAGACCAGAAGAGGCAAGCCGTGTGTTGACAGATGCCCAAAAGGGAGGCAATGGAGGCTTGGTTTGGAGTGCCAACAAGGGAGGGGACCGAGCGGCTGGATTCGATTAGCACACGCGTCCAGCTGTTCCCCATGTGTCTGTCCCTGCGCCGTTCTTGTCACGGGAAGAAGAAGCAGCTTGACATCAATATGGCTTCTCTGCCAGCCTTTCTGCTGGCACTGTGGCACCCTGTTTACCACCCCTGATGAACCAGGGACGGCAACTAGAAAACACACTTATCTTGGTCCCCACGCAAAGCCCTCACAACAGGAAGCCATTTTTGCTCTGTGTGGGCCTTCCCTCTGTCTGATCAGTGCCACTGAGAGCACCGTGGGTGACCTCCAGACAAGCAGCTTTGACTTGGATCTCACCTTTGCCTGAGGCTGCCACTCCTGTCACTGTTGTGGGTGTCAGCCTGGCAGGCAGGCCATCCCCCAGCTTGGCTCCCATGCCCAGCCTGTCTCTGTGTGGCTTCTAGCAGGACCACTAGAGCCCTGGACTCTATACCATTCAATAGAATGCTACAGGAAGATGGAGGGAAACCGATAGTCACACTGGCCACTGTGGTGGCTGCTAGCCATACATGGCCAGTGGATATTTAAAATATCCTGAGTGAGACTCAGAGGTTCTTCTGGTTTTACCCTGTCGCTAAGATAAAACAGCAGGACAGGAAAGCAACAAGGGAAATGACAGGAACTCAAACAGGCCCTTGGAGGAGCACTGCTTGCTGGTTCTCCCACAGGCTTAGCTTTCTTATGTTGCCCACAGTCACCAGCCTAGGGAATGGTGGCGCCCATAGGAGGCTAGGCCCTCCTACATCAATTTGCAATAAAGATACCCTCCTCTGTGGACATGTCCACGGGCCAATTAGATCTGGGTAACTCCTCAATTAGACTCCATTCTCCAGTGGCTCAGGCTGTGTTTTTCAGGCTGTGTCTGCTGTGACAGTACATGTGTGTGGCTGGTGGCTCTGTACTGAGCAGGGTCACTCTAGGCTGTGCCCTGGAGCCTTTCTGTGTTCCTTTGCTTGGTTGGAAAGTGACAAGGTATCCTGCTGATGTTCTGTGGGACTTGTCTCTTGTCACAGTCTTCTTCAATTTGGAATAAAGGAATGGAGGGATGAAAGGATGGAGAGGTAGCTGGGAAGAGCCTGGGTGGTCATTATCTTTTGTTATTTAGTGTATACCTAATTATATATTCCTCTTGTACCATGGGGAATGAAGTCACCGTCCTCTTTGGTCACCTCTGAAGTCTTAGACTCTGAAGTGTTCTGGGGTGGGGGGTAACAGCATGGTCTGTGTGGCATGCATCTCTCCACACCCCTTACTCTTCATCTGTGGATGCGTAAATAGATAGAAGTGTTCTATATTGATTTACAAGTTGTAGGTTTTGACATTTTTTTGCCCTTAAAAAAAAAAAAAAACATTTGCCGGGCGGTGGTGGCGCACGCCTTTAATCCCAGCACTTGGGAGGCAGAGGCAGGCGGATTTCTGAGTTCGAGGCCAGCCTGGTCTACAGAGTGAGTTCCAGGACAGCCAGGGCTATACAGAGAAACCCTGTCTCGAAAAACCAAAAAAAAAAAAACCAAAAAACATTTATTTACAAACCACATGTTGCTTGCGAAGGTCGGAGGAAACCTCGTGAGGGTTGTGGGTTCTGGAGAGCATCTCAGACCATCAGGGTTGGTAGCGAGTGCCTGTACCTACTGAGCCATCTCTCTGGTTTCTCTCCCCACCCCCAACAACATATACTGGACTTTCTAGGTTCCGTCCATGTAATATTTGGTTTTTAAACTGCTGCTTGGGGTTGCATTGTCTGAGTTTGTCTACAAGCTTTCCTGTGCGTCTCTCACACAGGGGTGAGGGTTGTCTATTGACCCGTTGATTGCAAGTCTAAACTCTTTATGATGGTAACATCAAGTTGGGGGTGGCTTTTGGAGGTGGCACTCAGCCTCAGCAGCCTTCCTTGTGGACATTCAAGAATTTTTACATACTGACTTTACAGACTGACTTTTGGTCTGCTAATTGTTAAAGTGTATTTTCTTCAGGTCCTTAATTCATTTTGATTTGATTGATTGCACCACTGTCAGGCTCTTTCTTTTTTAAAACTATAAAACCAATCTGCCGACTGGGATATTGTCATGTAAAAAGTGAGTTCTGTCTGCAGACCTTCCCAGGTAACCTTGGTGACCTCTGGTAACAAGAGCTGTGTGTATCCAGGTCCCCCCTCCCTTCCACCTTCCTCCTCTTTCCTTTGAGACAGGGTTTCTCTGTGTAGCCCTGGCTGTCCTGGGACTCACTTTGTAGACTAAGCTGGATTTTAACTCAGAGATCTGCCTGCTTCTGTCTCCCAAGTGCTTGGTCAAAGAGTCACTGCCTGGCTTTCCTCTCTGGCTTCCCCATCCCTTCTTCCTTCCCTCATTCTCTCTCTGGCTTCTCCCTTCCTTTCTTTCACATTCTCTCTCTCCCTCTCCCTCTCTCTCTCCCTCTCTCCCTCTCCCTCTCTCCCTCTCCTCCCTCCTCCCCCTCCCCCCCTCTTTCTCTTCCTCCCTCTTTCCCCTCATCTCTCCCTCGCTCTCCCCTCTCTATACTGGAGTTATACTTTTCACCGTGTTTATTTTCACGCTGTTCCGTTCTCAGACATGTTTTATTTGTATCTGCGTGTGTTGGTCACATGGACGAATTAGTCTCATCATGGTCTCCTCATACCTACACAGTGCATCTTATCATGTTCACCCTTGGTGCCTCCTCCCCCCCCCCCTCCCACTTAGCCCCGCCCACTTAGCCCCACCCACTTCCAGGTCTCTTTATGTATCTGCTTATTTATTTTGACTACCCACTGAGCTTTTTTAGTGCTGTTTACGTGGCACAGGGCACCTTACAGTAGCTATACCACTGAAGAAAGGCCCCTCCCTCCCCAAGTACCATTGACTTTCTGCAAATACTCAAAGAGGGAAGTGGTCTCATGAGTCCCTCCCCATGGACCATGGAGGAGGGGGAGGGGGTGTCTTCAGGTGGTTTTCTGTCCTCACTTCCCTGACCCTTTGCCAGTAGTCAAGCACAGTTTCTCCACAAATGTTGTTCTGATTTGTATTGTTTCTTGTGGCTCCTTGAAAATCCATTGTGTGTGTGTGTGTGTGTGTGTGTGTCTGCGTGTGCATGTGTATGTGTATTTTATGGACACGAGTGTTTTACCCATGTGTATGTCTGTGTGCCATATATGTACCTGCTACCTGCATAGGCCAGAAGAAGGGATAGGATCCCTTAGAACTGGAGTCACAGATAGTTGTGAGTCTCTGTGTGGTTCTGGGAACCAAACCTAAGTCCCCTGTAAGAGCAGCCAGTGCCCTCACCCACCGAACCTTCTCTCTGACCCTTTAGCATGCATTTTACAGGAGGTCCCCTGTGATGTATTTGAACAGTCTGTTCTTGTTGGACACCAAGCCTGCTTTTGGTCATGCATTCAGCCAGGCTTGCAGCAACACCCCACTCCCACCCCCCACTTACCACCGGCTTCTCTGGTCTTCTCTGGTGGTCAGACTACAGCAGTCATACTCTGCATATTAAAGATTTTTGTTTCTTCCCCTAGCTTCATGGCTACATGGAGAACAAGCCTCTGGGGCTTCAGATCTTCATTGGGACTGCGGACGAGAGGATTCTTAAGCCGCATGCCTTCTACCAAGTACACAGGATCACCGGGAAGACGGTTACCACCACTAGCTATGAAAAGATTGTGGGCAACACCAAGGTCCTGGAGATCCCCTTGGAGCCAAAGAACAACATGAGGGCCACGTAAGGCTGGGCAGTGGTGGTGGGGGCTTCTTGGGAAAGCGAGCAGGGCCCGTGTGACAGGGTTGAGGAGATTACAACAGCCGTTGCTGGCACTGCCTGATCTTAGAGTACCTGTCTGATTTATTTGAAAGCCAGGCATGGTGGCACACACCTGTAGTCCTAGCACTTGGTATGGATGGAGAAAGGAAGATCTGGAGTTCAAACTATCTTCAGCTACATATTGAGTCCCAGGCCAGCCTGGGCTACATGAGATCTGGTCTCAAAAAAGTAAAACAAAAACAAACATCAGTGGGACCTAAAGAACAATTTCAGTGACAACACAGAAGGCCGCTCATGTAGCACTGACACCTATGGCTAAGCTGGCCACATGACACACGCGTGTCAGCACCAAAGACCCTTTTATGAGGAAATAAACTCTAGTTTACAGAGATGCTGTGGGAGGGAGGTCCGAGAACTTGGGGGCACTGGTTGAGTTGTCCCTGTCACTGGGTTCACACTTGCTTTCTCTCTGTCTCACGCCAGAGTCCTCTGAGAGATGGTTGATTGTACCTTATTTGTTATATTCAAGATGGATATTCTCTGATATTTGTGGAATAGCCCTGGCCAGTTCTACCTGCTGCCCTTCTTGAGTTTTGCTGGTGCTTTTGAGAATAGAGGCATTGACATGAAATTTTTCCCTAGAGAAGCAATCTCTAATCGGGAGATTGTTCAAGTTCCAAGTTCTCTATGAAATATCTCTCATTCTCTCTCTCTCTCTCTCTCTCTCTCTCTCTCTCTC